GTCTGGTTGTGGTAGGGTTCCTGGTATGCAGAACTTTGTCCATTATGATCCTGACAGATGACCAAACTCAGTTTTAAAAGATCACCAAAAAGCTACTGATTTGGCCTGGATTTGAATTAATGAAATAAAGCACAAGATCTTCAAAAGAATTCATTCTCCATTTAAACCCTGAGATGGCTAGGTCAGCATCTAGCCACTTGTATTGTTCATCTCCAAATCAGTAGTTTAAAGGGGCTTGGAGAGGTGGATGGATAGTCTTCATAATTGTAAAGCTTTTTTGGTGACATCAGTAAATGAAGTTTTGAACTTTTAGTTGAGTTCCTAATGGATAAGTATCCATATACCAAAAAATTAAAATCTGTCACAAACAAAATCTCTTTGATAGTCTCACTAGAGATACCAAGGGCTAAATGAAGGCAAAGTAGATTTGCACCTTATAGACTAACTAAATCAGGGGTGCATAGCATAAATTTTGTTAGCAGCAGCTTACTTCATCAAACTGCCTTCATAGTTCTTTCATGGGACCTGATGAAGTAAGCTGCTACTTAGAAGAGTGTATGCTGTGCATCTCTGATTTATTCAGTTTGTAAGGTGCAGATCTCCCATCCTTTCTGCCTGATTTCAGACTAACACAGCTAACTATATCCTGCTGTGCCCAAGGATTAAATGAACCATAGAATTTTTTCACCCTGTTGGCAACTCCCTTCAGACCATTACAGTGTTGGTCTCCAAAGGAGTTTGTGGGTACTACTCTGAAAACCTGGTCAGTCTGTGTATATGTCTAAGTGGAATAAGAGCTCTTCAAATTCTGGCCAGAAAGCACAGTCTCATTACCAATTCTCTGAGCCATGTGGTTGTCTTTAATGGTATTTCTCTAGCAAACATCCTTACATCAGCTTGTCATTCCTTATCACATGTAATGGTAAACAGATGAACAAGATGCCCTTGAAATATACTGTTCTTTCTTTTAAAAAAATGAACAAAGCAATACTGTAATGTTGGGTTGCAGCCTGATGCCAAGCAGGGATGGGAGGGGTGGCGCGCAGCTGGACATGGAGCAGGGAGGTGGGGGCGGAGCACCACCACCTCTCAGAAGCAGGGCCGGGGCGGGGAAGCTCAACAGGCTGGTGTGTAGCAGCAGCGTCCGCCATGTGTGAGCTTCCCCATCCCTCAGAGGGGTGTTGCTGCCCTTGCCCCACCCCGACCCTGCTCCTGGGAGGTGGCAGCGCTCTGTCCCCACCCTCCCGCTCCTGGTACGCACCCCCTAGGACCAGTCTAAGTACCCCCAGAGCTATGCGTACCCCCAGTTGACCACCCTGGTCTCAAATCATTCCATTTTAGAGCTGTAGTTCCAGCGTCCATCAAAAATGTTTCTGTGTAAATAAGACTTCATTATAAGGCAGTCTTTTATCTCTTTTATGCTGCTGCCATAGGAAAAGTGATGGTGGGTGTAGTTGCTGTGGTGGACATGGCAGTATCTGCTGTAATTCCTGGCAAAGATTTGCCGTTAGACTTAACTAAACAGAAGTTCAGTCAAGGTTACTGAGGCACTTATACAGGCTTCAGTGATAAATGAGCTGAAAGGTGGTCTTATTTCATTGTGTTGCCCATTCTGACATGAGCCCAAAATAAACACAGAGCAAAGCTAGTTAACCTATGTTGAAAACATGTGAATAAATGCATAAAAGGGCAAATACAATTGGTGCAGACCAGTCTGTTCTTGCAGAGTCCAGTCTGAAACCTGGCTGTGCCTTCAGCACTTACCGAGAACCATAAACCCTAGAAAAACAGTCCTTCACATGAACTTCACACTTAATCCTGTGAGACTTTTTAGGTTCAATTTCTGTGATTCTAGTAAATATTCACCTTTTTCAAACAGTTTCAAATAGTCCAACCTGTTTCTGGTGCAGTTAAATGGCAGCTCATTCCATAGACTTATCTTTTCTCTCCAAGACTAGACCTCATGTCCAATTTCTCTTGCAGCTTCTGTTCAGTGGAGGGAGCACTGCCAGACAGCCATGCTTAAGGACAAGTGATGGAGGCAAGTACTGCCTTTTTATTTTGCTTTTTATATGCACCCTGACATTGTTTCTGCCATCTTCTCAGATTGAACAGCTTTACTTCCCAAAGCTGCTAAGAAATAACTGCCCAGTTGAAGGAATATTTGAAAGTGTTTTAGGATGTAATTTTAGACAGTACCATAAAATGCTCACTCAAGTCTGACAGGGTATGTTGAGTCATTCATTTTGTAGCTTGATATCTTGCCTTTTTTCTCAGAGTAACTGGAATTTAAAAACATCTGAGCTGTATCTTGAAAAGTTCTGTGCCTGATTTTTGTTTTTCCCTTGAACAGGATAAAGTAAAGGTTGTCCTATATGAAAAACAGGGCTTACTTTAGGTAACGTTGATCCTTGCTTTAAGCATGGATCGAATTGAGTGAACACAGCAAGGCACCTTGAATATTCATGCCAATAAAATACACTGATTAATTCACAGTCCTCTTCATTTCTGATTGCAGGTCTTTTTGTTTCTTAAACAAATAAGTAAGAACATTCGCACCAGAAATGCATGGTTATCTATTTTGAAAAGGACTTTTAGGCCTGAAATAGTCATCAAATGAAAAAAATACAAACGTGGGCATCTAATTTGTTGATGGAAGAAAGGGATCCCTTAAGTTATCATAAGAAGAAATGAGAAACAAGTCAATTTAGTTTAATATGTCAGTTATGCAATGAACACAGGTAATACTTAGTGTGACCTGTTTGTACAAACACAACAGTTTTGTGCAAATAAATTTCATATCAAATAAGAAAAGGTACTCATCTGTTTGCCATTAGTTTGTACATAAAACATAAGGCTAGATTAGCCAGAAAGTTCATTTCCACCAACCAATTCCTGCAGCTCCAGCAACTGGGATATTGAGTTTGGATTGAAAAACTTTCATGGTAAACTTAATTCTGAAATGTATTAGAAATGATAACAGTACTGTTTAGAGAATAAATTCTTCATTTTTGTTCTGAACTCAAATTCAACAAGGACTTTTGAAAACTGAATACCCTGGGAAGTCTTAAAATAAACAAGGCACTACGGGTCAACTGTCAAGTTACATATTTTGTATGTCAAACAGGGTTTGGGTCTCTTGCGTTTTAACCAATGGGATTTGTTCACTGAACCATTTTGCCTGTTGGATGAAATGGAAACTAGGTTATAGTTCTGTGTTTTTCCTTCCAGAAGTCAGACTGAATGAAGACCCAGCTCTGGGCTGTCTCTGGACACACTGTGCATTAAACAAAATAAAAGCAAAGCCTCAAAGTTTGGAGCCTCAAAGTCCAAAGGGGGTGCCAGCAGTAGAGGCATTGAAGGTCATTTGAGAATGCATGTTAGCAGTTAAAAATAAAAAAATTGAAGCCAGGTTCTTAGGTTCTATTCCCAACTCTGCTAGTTAATGACTGTATGAATTTGGCTAAGCTTTCAGTGTCTCAGTTTACCACATAAAGTGGAAATATTAATTCCACTCAATGGGGTGCTGAAACTGAATGCTTGCAACAAGCTATGAAATACTCAGATGTAGAGTATTGTACAAGCAAGGTACTTTTTTTCTGCGTGTCGTCTTGCCTCCATGGACTAGGGCATCCAGGAGGGTGGGAGATTTGATGCAGCTCTTTCGATTGATTTTTCCTGTGCTGCCCATTTAAACAACACTTCAGAACCTCAGTTTAACCCGTTGTGCTAGGCTTAAAGTGCACGAAACTGAGGGAAGTTTTGGATCTTCACCTTCTCCATATACAAAACCCCGATGGTTTTAAAATGAATATTCTAATAAATCCTAATATTTTAATAAAACCTCTGTTGCATTTCTAATAAGATCATGGGTTATTCAAGCTCTAGCTGCCTCCTGCCAAGATTGAAAGCGGACTTCTGTGATCTGATTTCTGTATTTTTAGAAGCACAATCAAAATCCCCTGCAAGAAAACAACCTCCAGTTTCCGAGCATGTGAGCTGATTAACCATGTCGAAGATGCGAACCTTCCCACTCCCTTTCTTGCCTTGTTTTAATATTCTTTTAATATTAAAAAGGGCTCTTTCCCCCTGCCCCTTGCCTCAGTCCTCCTGCACTGGGTTGCTACCTTACTTCTCAACTGTGGTGTTATGTGGGCAGCTCCCCTTAGAGCCTGTGGATTGGGGTTGGGACTTAGCAGGGAAAAGAAGCTGCATGCTTTCTGTTCTCTGGAGGCTGAACTATGCACATCTGTGCTGCTGCCTCTGCCCTTTTAGTCTTGTCACTCAATACTCTGCTTTCAGAAATACTTTTTTGTTTGCTCAGGACTTTCATGGATGAAATTATACGAATTACAGCTATGTAGCTTCCTTGTTCTCCCTGTAAAGCAGGGCTTTCACATCCAGTTGCCAAAGGAATTGATGGATGGTAATAGCAACAAGCCTTTCCCTAGTATTCTGTCTGAGATTGTACAAGTGTGCTTGTACATATTCTGTTTTCTCATGTATCATCAATTTGATGATGACAGGTGTTATACTGTAATTCACGGTAGGTAGACCAGCTACCACATTTGAAACCAAAAAACTCAGACCGTTGATAGGAAACCTGGTTAATTTTGCAGTGAAGAATTAACTTCTTATGCCTCAATTGCTGTAACTATAAATGTTGCAGCCCAATGGCTCAAGTTACCAGGTCCTGTTCTAGGCTCCGTTCTAAGACAGCATCCAGCCCCTCTGTCTTCTGAGAATGGTTTTTAACCTTTTTCTTCCTTCCCAAGCTCCTTGTCTTATCTTGAGCATTTTTTCCCTTTGTAAAAAAACAAAAAATGAGTTGTTCCTTCACAGCCTTTACCTACTGCGTGCAACTAATACCATGGTTCAGGGTTGCTTGGAAAACTGATACTTATTTTTATTTTCTTAACAGCATGTTCCATGTATTGATTTTTTTTAACCCTCTAGTTTCTGCATGGATGTGTAATAATGGCTCTTTTGTTTAAAATTAGATAAGCATGAGATCACCGTGGCACTGCTGCATGCGTAGTCACTCTTGAAGCAATTGCACACCCAATTGGCTGACAATCTTGGCATTCTTAAAACAAACACAAACTGTTTAAAGCCAGGGGACATCAGTATTTATGAATTGCTAAAGACACGTGTTGGGTGTCATCTCATGGAGCCTTCTGGCAATGAACAGATCTGTGATGACCCTGATCCTGGAGGCAAATCGCAAGATCAAGAGGGCAAAAGACCACATGAGTCAGAACAAAAGTTGTCCAAAATTACCCATAATGCTTTGGAGAACATTAATGTGATTGGTCAAGGCTTGAAGCACCTTTTTCACCACCAGCGCAGGAGGTCCTCGGTGTCTCCACATGATGTGCAACAAGCCCAGGCCGATCTGGAACCTGAAATGGATCTGGAAAACCAAACCACCTGTGCTGAAATTGATGGTGTCTCCACCCACCCCACAGCTCTGAACCGAGTGCTCCAGCAGATTAGAGTACCGCCTAAGATGAAGAGAGGGACAAGCCTGCACAGCAGGCGGGGCAAGTCAGAAGCCCCAAAGGGAAGCCCGCAGATCAGCAGGACGTCCGGCCAAGATAGTATTCAGGCCGGCCCAGGTCATCATCCACTACTGATGCTCCTACCAACTTGTCTGGGATGGAGGTGGCTTCTTCTAGTTATGTAGCTGGTGACGAGACCACAGCAGCAGAGCGGGTAAGTTAGGCAAATTTATTTTTTACTTTTCATCAGTCTGTGTTGTATTTGTTAAACCTTCTGAATTCCATTTGGAAACAAGTTTCTCTTTCCAGATACTTCAGCTACTGTGTTGCATAGCTTCATTGCTAGGCAGCTTGAAAAGATGCCAACATTAGCCATTTTCTCTAATGGCATGTGGTTTGTTTTATGTACAGTTGATGTCCAAAGCTGGCAAGCTGCACTTAAAGTGCATTAAGTTGGTCATATGGTGTACCACAGTCAAACAAGAAATCACGGTGACAGCAACAGCCCTTGCAGGAACTACTTCTTTCCAATAGCTGTCAGTCTAGATTGCTGGAGCAAATATTTACTTAGGTAGATGGGTGATTTGTTTCATTTAATTTTTCAGATATATTTCAGAGACTAAGGAAGTGTAACTTGTGTGAATAGAACAGTAAATCCGGCCAGGTAGATCTTTGTGAACTCTGAGTGACAGGCCTGAAACTTGGGTTTTTGCTAAAAGCCAGCATGGGACTAAATTAAAATGCCTTCTTACCATCATATCTGCTCACTGACTGAATTATGTTTTGAGCAGCTAAGTGACTGCATCATACTAATATGAAATCATAATAATGTTTCTCAGTCTGCATAGAAAACAATGTCACGTAAATGATGCAGTCTTTGTCTCGGGACATCTGTTACCATATGTTCTCAAAAGGCTATTTCAGTTGATATATTGGTCCTAGCAGGGAGAAGAAATGTCTTGCACGTTTCTTCTTTTCTACTTTAGTTTACTTAATGCATTAAAAATGCATCATATGGAAAAAATGAACTTCTGATTTAACCCAGGCAATACCTTGGAGCTTATGCAGTGCCATTCATAAAAAGTCTGCAAAGATTTACTTGTAAAGGAATGTCTCTGTGATAATGATGGGTAATGGTGTGGAATTAATCATGTTGTGGTTTATAGGTACTTGACTAATGTAACTATTCAGAAATAGTTCTCAACACACACCTTCCCCTTGCTGTATCTCCAGTTATTTTATCTTTCTGTTTTGCATTTGAAATCTAAATGCTTCCATTAGGACCTGATTAACTTATTTCCTGGCTCCCTGTTTATTGGAGGCTTGTGACTCATGTTTTCGCTGTGAATTTCAGCATAGGTAAAACATATCAGAGCTCCAAACCGCCCAAAGCTGAGCTGACTATGACAGCCTATCCTTGGAACTGATGTTTAAAACTATAGCTGTTAGACTTATTGATCAGCACAGAATGTTGCTCATGTCTTAGACTATAGTTGTTGGATAATGAATAATTTAGACTGACTGTGGGTCATTGTGGAGTGTAGGACTGGAAGGGAGCTCCTGGATCATTAATTATAGTTCGTTGTTGTCTCAAGTAACCACAGTATATATTTTTTCCATAAAGTGATCAAACCCCTTAAGAGCATGGAAAGTTCTGTTTTTCATGCTAAAGCAGCTGTTTAGATGCTTGTGCGCTCCTATTACTGGCTGGGCTGATAAGACTACCTATTAAATTGTCTAACACTTCCTGATATATCATGATTTTAGAGGTTTATAATTGATAAACTCTAGTCATGTGGGCTGAAATTTTCCTTGGTAAGCTTCTGCATTAGGCTTTTTTTTTTTTTTAATTTTAACAAAATATTGCTCAGTTATTCCTGAGAGTGAGGCTAGAGAAAGATATAGTGCATTACCCTCGTTAAAAAAATCTGGTGATCTTTTATTTAAAAAGAACTTGTAGTGCTATTTAATAAGAACTTTAAATTTGGCAGGGAGGTGGCCTTTGTAAGAAAGTTGCCTTTGACTGTCCCTGAGAGAGAAATGCCAAAATGTAGCCAGTTACAAACTCTGAAGAGATGCTGTGTGCACATGATCAATAGAGACCTGCAGCGAAATTCCCTGAGGACTCTATCTCCCTCGAGCATGATATAGACCCAAACTGAGCAGGGCTTTTGCTGCACCTGTAATGGAATACTGTTCATTTTAATTACTGACCGAAGTAGGAATCGTATGGGAAAAATAGTAGGTGACCAGGTAATTAAAGAGAGTGTTGTAACCTGTCCGTACAAAGGGGCCAGAATAAGATTACACCTACTACCGAGGATACGTGGTCACTGAGTTTTGATTCTGTCTCTAAACAGTTTTTTGTGCCAAGTGTGGTATAACATGATAATCTTTTTAGGCCCTGATGTATGTACTATATATTATTTATTTGTAGTATAGTAGCACCTAAAGGTTGCAGTTGGGACAAGTATCTCTTTGTGCTGGGCACTGTATAGATACGCTGTGAGAAACTCGCTCTGTCCTGGAAGTGAACAGTCCTAATTACTTTTCATCACTAGGCTGGAAGTTATGTATTATACATGGTAACATGTTTTCATTAATTTTTGTCTGCCTAGTCTGGGAGCCATTCGGTTTCCTGAGGATTTTTTTCCCCCAGCCTTCCTCAATCTGGAATAACTATTTGCTTTAACTAGCACTAACACTAATAACGCTGTTGGCTGAGTGAGCTGTTGACTGTAGAATCAAGGATGAAACATCTCATGATGAGATTTTTGCTGTTGGGCTGTCATCTGCCAAATGAGTTCTTTCCCTTTTTTTGCAGTACTGTGCTTGCATTACAATGCTAATCTGTCTCCACTGATTGCTCTTTGGAAGATTAGTATTATCTTGAAATACAGACATGCAGCGTGCTAGGAATTGAGGTGAAAACTAAGTTTGATGTGATGCTGGGTATGTTTAGTAGCCAGTTCCTGTCTGTAGCAGAAAGGCAGAAAAGTAATTACATAGGATAGCTGTGTTACTGTTTGTGAGTCGCTTGGAGCAGTGTAGATTTTCTAGATTCTCAGGGACACCAAAAAATAATTGCTACTACTGAACAGCAGATGAGAGATCTTCATGTTGTAACCGACTTATCAGCAAGTGGTAAACTCCAGTCACATGGGGGTTGTGTGTGTATTGTTGTTTAATATAATTAAAAAAAAAAAACAACTCATGTTTAAGTCGCTTGAATTCTGGATGTTGACATCTTTGGATTGCACTTTGAATCCAAGCTTTTGATCTGTGGCTACAGAGGGGATCTCATGAGGCAGAGACTTTGGAGAGGAAGGAGGCTCTAAACCTGCTGACGCTCCATGTGTAGAAATAGCAATGTACAAGTGATCAGAATGTGAATATATGGCAAGGATCATCTGGTCTCTCTTCATGAACGTAGGCTAGCTTTTGAGAAGATGTCCTGTAGAGTCTGGGTGGCATCCCCAAATTTACCAAGTAACATTTTCACGACCAACATGATGTTTCTTTGATATGGCTCGTGGCTTTTTGCCATGTTTCTTCTAGCTTTCCCATGGTGCTTAAAAAGCCCATGTAAATGCTGCATTCATATCAGCTAAAATAATGGAATTAAAGATGGAAAATAGCTACTTCGAAATCTATGCCAGCCCTCTGTTTTGCACACATCAAAAGAACAGTATTTATTCCTTTGACAAATAATTCTGAAGTTGCGGTGGCAAGGGTGTTCTCATTTTCTGACTGCAAGCATATGATTGGAAGCTGTCAGGACTTCCAGAGAACACGCTGGAGTGTACGTTAGTTATGGAGAACCCAGTTTTATTCTCAGTTTGTTGTCTGGTACTTTAACATTGGTGTGTTCCCTAACCAGGAAGAGCCTGCCTGACTGGAGTGCAGCAGTGATTCAGTAGCACACAGCAATACTATAACCGTTCAGGACAGGCAGTAAAAAACACTGTATCTAATTGAAGCTGCAGGGGTCCTGATGGATTTAAGGCTAGATGTAATTACTTGGAATAAAGAGTAATATATATTTTTTTGTGACTCTGCAGCCCGTTTCATTCAATGCAACGTCTAAATTTGTTACATTTTTAGACAGCATTGAAGGCATTTTAAATTAGAAAGCTTTAACTAAGGTTCACCCGCAAAAAGGGAAGTTGCCAGCAGTTCAACCTGTCTGAAACTGTGGATTTCGTTTCACGGGAACAAATGTTTTTTGTATTTACCAGGATGCTTAATTTTTCTGGAATAGGAAGATAAGAATAAATTATGAGAAATAATTCTAGGCATCCTACCCTTTGGAAAATCATACATTAAAAAAGAAATGATCCTTCCATACCCCAGCAAAGAAAACCTCTGTTAATAAACACTGAAGACCTAGCAAACCCTTACCTGCACTGCAATCAAAGGCATAGTTGTGGTATGTGTATACGTTACCCAGCCTAGTTTTAAGCCAGATGTAATGCTGTGGTACTAATATCAGTACCACTGCTACCGCACTGGGTCTGATGTATACAAGCCAGCTCGGGCCCAGACATTATTGCTTGGGCGGCTAGCACATTCTGAAGCGTGCGCCACTGCAACTCCAACACTGCTGGCAGATTTAAAGGCAACTGAGACATCTCTTTAGGGAGCACCCACACACTGGTTACTGGTTAGGGTCCAGACAAAACCTAAAAGTGATGCAGTGTGCATTTGAGCCCACGTATGTTGCAGGGCTCAATTCTGACTAGGCACAGAGTAGGATACTACTCTGTAAATGAAAGTGTCAGAGATTTGGTTCCCAGGATCCTTTTTATGTTAAAGGGGTGTTTCAGACAAGAATCATGTGTCTGGCAGTGTGGTGCCTACTATAGTTATAGATAACACACAATTGGAGGATAGCTAAAGAGTCTCTCTCTTTTTTTTTTTTTGGGGGTTTATTTTGGGCAATTAACAGCTGTTACAGTTATGGTCTGTCTCATGATTTCTCTTGTATAATCTCTTTCTCCTTTCCTGAAAAGATGCTTAAATGTTGGCAGGATAGCAAAGAGCCTAGAATTTTTTAAAGTAAATATCAAAGTTAGTTATCAGAAACTGGATTTGTTTTTAAACTAATGAATATCAAAAAAGGAATATCCAAGTTTTCTGTGTTCATTGTATATTAGTGACATTTTAGAACTGGGGTGTCTTAATTCCATTGTTAAGATGGCTTTTAAATATGCA